CCTTCCCCTACAATACTTTTTCCCCTGGCAGAAGCTGAGTTTGTACGTCAGTGTACGTAGGGTCGCCCCGTTCTCAGGAAAAATTTAGAAACGTTATACCGGATGGAACACGGCTGTCGGGAGAGTATGGGATTAAAGGGTACGGAAATGTTGGAAATTTGTAGTAGGAGGACAACCGTTACCGCCGCTGATCTTGCTCCGTACCATGCGAGTCCACGTGAATATTATCGTACCTTTCCCTCCGCAAAAGGAGCCTCTCCATCCAGCAGTCTCGACTGCTCGTACGGAGCTCTGCATATTCGAGACGCATATAACGGCTATCTCTTCTATAGGGGGTCTCTTGACCGTCTTTGACCCGATCGAATCTTTGACTCAAAGCATTCAGGAGAGCAGCGTAACATCCTCTGGATTTCAGGAGTTTCGAAACTCCCGTCCGATCGATACACGATAAAGAGATTATACGTTATATCGTATCACCTGTAGAATAGGACGCGACAGCGTTGCTCGCCGAGAGTAGTACTGGTAATTTAATTTGCCCGAGGAAAGCGTTTCCGTGCCATCCGTTTCCGATTAGAAGGATAGAAACGAAATCAGGCCAATGGGGCGGGGTAACGCGATATTTGCGGAACTTAACGGGAAACGCTTTTAGATGGACAGACGAGTAGCCCATCGTTTTTCCCGAAAAGCTGGGCGTAATACATTTTTCGATGTAAGTAGCAGTAAAATCCATTCAGAAACTTCAATGTCGTGTTGAAATTGCCCGAAGCAGAAGTTCTCGATGAGAATCAGTTTTGTTATTGGAGTATACGATAAAAAATCTTACGGAATACTTAACAGATCTAATATCAATTGTGGTTACGAGCGATTTTCCATTTCTTGGAGTCGCCGCGATTATCCCTGTGGAAATGACCTGTGCAGTTCTATCTGTTACAAAGATAAAATTGAAACTTTTCTGTCTCCGATCCCAATTTATTGCATTTGTGAAACAGCGAATTTTTACTGTAAATGTCTCCATTTTTTTATTGGCTCTGTCCAGTCTTTCAGAAAGCATGTTTACAGTGTCTTGTAATTACCATTTTGTTTTTCTCTTTTGTATGTTCCCAGTTACAGGTTTAATTACGTTTAATTATTCGTTCAATTTATATTTTATACAAAAATTCTTACATTTCTTTTTCTCTCGTATTATAATGGGAATCATCCGGTAAAGTGAATAAATTAAAATGTCAGGTCGTGTCTGCATTGTTGCCACGTCAAATCCCAGAACCGCGGACTAGAATCGTCGATGTAATTCGCGCGCGTAATAACGATCGAATGACCGTCCCGACCGATCGGTTAATCGAGTTCCCTGGAATTCGTGTTCGAGATTGCTTTTACGCTTGTAGAGCCATCGCTGGAGTCTCCGAGACTGCACGTTTTCGAGGTGTACATCGAGACTGGACTTCGAGAATCAATGATTTCTCGCGTTTCCACGATCAATAGATTCTTCCGTCGAGAATTCCGGCTTATAAAGTGTTGCAGAGTATTTCGCGCAAAGAAACGATCGGGACTCGTTTGTACCGTTACGATCCATCGGTCAACGGGTTACGGTGACATCGGGATATCGATCTTCCGGCGTTTGGATCTGTTCTCATTCCCATGAAAAACAATTTGCCATAGTTTTCACCGACCAAACGAACCAGCGTGTGTGTACATGTTCGATCAAACAAACGATTGTGCATTAATTACTACGGCGAGTAATTAAAAACTCGAGCAATCGGTTGAATTAATAACCGACGAAATTGCATTGGTCTTTTTGGCGGAATCAAGCTCATCGAGGCATTAACGTTTTCGAGCACAGTTTCAGAGAAGTTCGAAACTGCGTGTCGAACGGGACCGGGGTGTGTGTGCATTGCACACAACAATGTTTAATCGCTTTTGATGGGATTCGTGGAGCGTTCCTGGTAATGGGCAGTATCGGTCGTAGGCAGACAGAATGCACAAGTAGAAGCTGCTGCCGCGTCGATTCCGGCTGTTTCGATAAAAAAAAAACAAAAAAAAAAAAAAAAGAGTGAAACCGTAGAACCAGAGCGATAGGTCTGCGCGTCGGCCGAAACAACAGGAGAAAATCCAGGGAAATATGAGATTCACAGTTTCCCCCGGAATGAATTTTTGCTGTCAGGCAATCGATGCGACTGTGCAATACTTCATGGAATCTATTCGACGGTAGTTACGTTTCTACGTCGATCATCGTCGACGGTCACCGTAATTTTCTTTCGTCACGACGACAGAAATCGGTATTCAGTATTTCGGAACGATCCTCGTTTCGTATTTAACTCGTGGTATTGTTTCTTTGACTCGGTCGAATACACTCGCCGTACTAGAAAGTTGGTCCGTTGAATGGACTGTTAAATTCTCGCACGATATTACGTTCGATCGAGACTTTTGGATCCGATTAGCTTCGTTCTATTTCGCCAAGAACGGAGCATTACGCTTAAACAAGAGACGAGCATCTTGGCTGACTATAGCTTTGTGTTTTCCATTGTCTCGCGGAATAACCAACGTCCCATGAATCTTAGAGAGTACTTCTGGGGAGAGCCGTGACTCCGAATTAAAAATGTTTTTCGCGAGGTATCGCGTAATACCTGGGAATCTTCAGCCCCAGCTTTAGCCTCGAAAGAAACGACTACGGTGTCTTTTTTCGTTTCTCGTCCGGTGGATGATTCTTTTTTCAGGCCATCTATGTATACCTGCCCGTTTGTTTTATGTACGATTGTTTTTTATTGTCCTTTTTATTGCCTTTTTTATTTCCAATAATAATTTCTGACTTTCACACATGTATTCGTTCGGTAGGTACGTTTCCTTTTATTGCTAAGTCAAATTTACCGCTGAAAAGTGAGAAACTTTTTTTTATAGAAAATAGCGCTCGTGGTTTTCAACATGGGACAAGAGTTTAACAGTGCTTCTGTTCCATTCCGAAAGAGGTTCTTTCACCGAAACAAGGCGAGGGAAGCCGTGAATACTTCTCTTTATTTCCACGACTATTACACATCCTCCGTTACACAGCTTCGTCGAGACACGTACTCCGTGCACGCGATTTTCCAGGATCAGGGACAGAATTTGCATACGGTTAAGAGAACGATGCAGCGACGATCGAACGATATATAATTCAAGATCGATAAAAACGAAGACAGCCAACGGGTGAAGTTTTTGGCACGTGTGTTCCAGTCACTTGCCCTCCGTTTCCACCGTCGAAAAAACTTGCCTCGCCGCCTGCTGCTCGAAAAAAACATTATACGGACGGTTTCTCCTGTCAATCATCCCGCGACGGCCGAGACAGTATCCTTCTTTCTTTCAAACTTTCCTCCCAGCTCGAGCTACGAATTTTTACCTCATCGATATTCGATACTCTCGACACAGCCGTTTTACTACAACCCCATTCCTACCACCCCCACGCTATTGTTTCCTCCCGGCGGTGCGGTAAATTTCTCCGCGAACTGTTCAGGCGGTTTCAAGTCGTATTTCCACTCCCGGTAGACTGTATCTCCTTCAATCTTCGGTCTTCTGGAAACTTTAATGGAAATATAATTCTAAACTTGAACGTTAAACAGGATTCTGCGATTTATACCGACGACAGTTTCAATTAGTTCAGCCTCTCTATTACACTCCTCGTGCGGGAGAGAGGGGGGAAAAGAGAGAAAGAGAATTTAGCCTAGAAGTAGACTGGAAAAATTCGCCCTTTGTCGAGGAACAGCTTGCAGTAAATTACATTTTTTTCTTTTTTTTTTTTTTTTTCACCGCGTAAATCGAAGTTGATCGGAGACCCCTTTGTTCGGCAAGTAGTTGGCTGTTTTCCTGAGCCCCCTTCGGTTCGGCTAGTCATTTCGTCTCGAGCATTTATTTATTCGCCCTTTATTCGAAGTCGATCGAATTTTCGGGAAAGGACACATAATCAGTCTCTACTTTCTCTGCCATTTCTTTTTATCCTCAACAATTTCTCTCGCAACGTTGGAGCAGCGAATCTCTCGGACACGTTTCCTCTCTCTTTTAATTTCCGACTCGATCCCGTCTCGGCCGAGTGGGTGCAAAAATGCGGAACAACGGGAGCAGAGGAAAATCGGGTTAGAACTTCCAGAGGGGATCGTTATCATCCACGCGGACAGTCACGACGAAGTTTCGGCAAGTTTCGGAAAGGGGCCATCTTCCATGAAATTAGGCTCCGGGAATCCGAAGCTTCTGCCCGCTAAAACCCCATGGATCATCGATCAAACGTAACGAAAACTACAAGTATGTCCATTCGAAACTGATTAAGAAAGTCAGGTTGAAACGTAAAATAGCAATAACGCGAACGAAGGATATTCGGTCGAAAAAATACTACGATCGATTGGCAACGTATTCGTCCGAACGATCCGATCGAACGGAGATATTTTGGATAACAATTTGAAGGACGGATAACGCAACACGCGGACCGCGAATGCGTGAAAATAATCTTTATCCTTTCGACGGGGATCCGGTTCGGAAGCGGAACCGGAATCGGGGAAGCAGGGTGGAGGACCAGCACGGTGGGGAATGGGAGAACGGAGGGATGGGAATGGGAATGGGAATGGGAACCTGGGATGGGGATGCGCATGTACGCGACAGGGGAGCGGAATAAACTCCCGTGCCCACGGACGCGCTCACATCGCGGCGCACTGCCCTACCGACAGCACGTTTCCACGTAGCTCTCTCCTGCAGGATCATCGAGAATCCGTTCTCCGTTTCTACGTTGCTTCTCGTCGCTAAAATCCACGAAATTTCCTGCGAGAATGAGAGTTCAGGCAACTATTCGTCGGTGTCCTGACGTCGTTTCCGTCACGATTAGACGCGTGTAAACGGTATCGCGTCGAAGTAAATTACATTCGACTGACATCACATGTCACTGAGATCGAGAGGATCGTACCGCGTTTCGCGAGTGAGATTGACGACGTGGAGATTCGTATCGAGCACTGGATCTGTTGAACCTCGTGCTGCGCTGGGCAGCCAGAATGTCGTTCTTCAAGGGTCTGTGGAAAAGCAGCTCTAAACACAAAAGTGAGTCACCTATGAGTCTTATTTCCAAACATTCCAATGGTCTTGGAGCCGCTTGTAGATTCTCTTCTTTTTGTGATTTGTCATTGAAAGGAAATAGAGTTGGTGGTAGAAACATCGGTGCATGTTGATATTCTATTTTTTCACGGTAATCCTCTCTCTCGTACTTCTGTTCAGTTTAGTTTAATTATAGAGTGTTTGATGAAAATCGAATGTTTGATTAATCGTAATCGCGTTTACGCACGTACCAGCGGCTAGAGATTTAATAACAAAAACGGTAGACGAATACTCACGATGATTCGTCGAAACATTGAACTAAACTACGCGACAGAAACATTCAAACTTTCACCATTTGGTATCGGAATCGACGAGGAAGATCGACGATATTCCACGGTTTCGTGGAATCCCAAAGGAATAATTTGTTCGGCGAACTCTGCGGACGATGTTACAAAGGCTTTGGGTATCGGCGTAATTGAAATTCTAGTCGGACGTGATAATTGACGAAAATTACATTTTCTTGGCCCGGGGTTGAATCGAGAAAGCTTATTTACCGGGCAGCGTTCTGCTACTCGCTCGGAAGATTAACGGTAACGGCGTGCAGCTGCAAAATGTCAGGAAACGTTAACAGAGACGAGGCGGCGGCGGCAACGCGGCAGTTAACGCGATTATTCGCAATAAGCGGCGTAATAGAGACTCGCGTTTAAGATTATGGTAATGCATGCCGTGTCTGTGTTATAGGCGCAATGTGACCTCCTTCGGAGCACTGATTATTGATCATAAAATTTGCATAATCGCACGGCACAGGCCGCATCTCGATGCCACGATCAAAGAACACGAGCAGTCGAACTCGCCAGACGAGATACGTACTCTCTCTGTTACCCTCTCGTGGACCAATGCGTTTGCATCCCGAACGAGTATCTATTATACAATACAGGTTGCGTGTGTCATGTTGAATTTATAACCATACCGAGAAATCATTTCGTATAGGGTAGATGAACTAGTAAATAAACACGTACCAGCGAATGAATATTATATACAAATACAAGTGAGCTGTATTTTTTCTTCTAAATTTAATTAACTGCATGTTTCAAATTATTCAAGTTGAAATGAATATGTTATGAAAAAGGTATAGATGTTAGCAAAACTAATTTTTACGTGCGAAATATTTATTCATACTATTATTATTTAAAATTCGACTTTAATCGTTATAAAATCTTTTAGGTATTCATTCGTCGGTGCGTTTACGCTACATCTCGTACAAATGGCAATTTAATTTCTAATCGCGTCCGTGATAAGACAAACGGAGCATAAAATTAAGTTTTCCGAACGTTCTCTCGGGGTAAGAAGCTGAATTTCTTGCGGGCCACCCTCGGGAAACGTTGCTCAAATTTCACCCCGAGTACCAACGGAAGCAACTGGGTCCCCGAGAGACGACAAAGTTAATTACCTTTTCCGTAACTCGAAGTTTAACCAGCAATTGCGTGTCGCGTTCATTTATGCTAGGAATCGTTTCAATCCTGTAGCAGATCAGTCTCCGTTCGAATGTTACTCCGAAACGTAACGGGGATTTTAGTGAATCTAACGTCTCGATTCCTTCGATATTTGACGCTCTCGAAAGGTTTCTCGAAATTGTCGCAGGTGACAATTTGGCTGGCACGACGGCTCGGTGCCGCCGGAATAAATGGGTTGGCCATTGTCATTGAAATTCGTCGGGGGATTTAAAGGGAAAAGCCCTGTTAGGATTGCGGCAGCTGGATCACGAAGACCGGTGGCTGCTGGGTGTCTCGGTAATTTCCGAGATCTCCATCCGTGGGTTTGCATTGTACTGGTAAATTTAACCGTTAACGCGAGCCAAGCCTTGTGTAATGTTTCAACTTTACTTTTAATGTCTCCTCCGTCCATGAACATGGAATTTTCTTCGGGACCGTTCCATGGAACGTCTAGAGAGCATATGAACTATATGTATTTTGTCATCTTCTGTCGAATCGAATTACGAAAATCGTATCGTGCTAGATATGGTAATACGTTCTCGATGCCCGACTGCGATTCGTTATTTTTATAGTGGCTGCTCGTCGAGCACGTGCTTCCGTCTGGCTCGAGGGAACCTTTTAATCGACAGGTTGGAAGTAAGTAATTCGACGTGGAACACGCCTGTGTATCGAGGGTTCAGCGATCAGATCCGAGATCGAACCAATGCTAATGAATTTATCTAAACGTAAACTACAAGCGGTAGCTGGTGGGTCTTTGGAAGAAAATAGTGGTATCGTTGTGATTACCGGTGAACACAACCGGTTCTATTTTTACGACGTTTAACGACGGTAAGGAATTGCCAATAACCAAAGTGTATCGGGATGGCGACGAGCTTCGAGAAATTATACGTTTCGCGGTACACGGATTGATTGCATCCTTCCAGACTATCCGTGTGCCAGGGAACGTATAAATTGTGTACCTTTTGCAAACATTCTTGTCAGTGTCCACTTAAAAATTGCCAACATCGAACCCGTAATTAATTAGTGGAGCCACGAGACTGAAAACTCGACAATTTTATAAAAAGCACCGATAACGAAAGGATATATCGGCGACGAGTTTGAAACGTGTAACGGTTGCGTGGCAAACTTTCCCGAATTTGTTCCCCCCACTCGAACGGTATTAGTCGGGATTACATGCATTCTCGCCGAGGTTGTTCCGGTATACACGAGACAGGGGAGCATTCGCGCTCTATTTACGAGTTTCAAGAATCCGTGAATCGTACGGGAATTGGGGAAAAGCTGGAGCAGTGTCGAGGCGACTGCGGCAGGTGCTTTTCGATGCAGAAATCTATATCGAGGGTGGCAAGTACGCGTAACTTAGGCTGCTCTCGGTTCATTCCGATTTTCCATTGGAAAGCAGAAATGGGGTAAGAGAGAGGTAGAGACAGGTGGTCCATTTGTCCCCGATAAATTGATCACCTTCGTTCTATAAAGCTCTCGAAGCTTCGTTTCGAAACATTTTGTCCGCGATCGACGGACAATTATGCGCGCGTTAGCCGTTACGGCCAACGGGGTGATCCTGAAACATTCTATGAAATTTATAAAGGCTGCCTCCCAGAATCCGTTTAACCGGATACCGTCGAGCGGCTTATATCGTCGCTATCAAATTAAGTCGATTAAAATGCATGCTTCGAATATTCGCATCTTTCCACGGTGCACTCTGTGCAAAGTGCTTAAATATACACGGAAAGCAGAGATTGTCGCGTGTGTATTTCCGCGACACTGTGTCGTATACTTCTCAGCGACGAAATTATAGATGCCCCAGGCAGCGGCGAACCTTTGTTCGCGAGTAGCTTTATTAAAAACGTATGTGGATTTCGAGATGGATACGCTGCGAAACGTTTCATTATTCATTCCACGTTACCTGCCGTGTTTTCTTGCGCCTGACACCGGGCAGCGAACAGTGCGATGCAAATACGCGAAAATCACGAACACATAATTCGTACCTGCCGGATATTTCCAGGGAAAAATCAAGTTTTCCCCCCGTCGCGTCGCGCCAGAAGTTTCGTTCCTATGGTTCTTTCGAACGCGTGTGCCGCGGCACTTTTTGCAAACCTTTCACGGTAACGAACCGTGGTCGTTTCCGTACGGCGGAAAAAGTTTGAATTCTCTACCCGAGAGAGAAACAAAACCTGTTACCTCGTGGACCGAGGTAAGAATCGATTGGCTGGGGGGCGAAAACCGCGATCGAAGCTACTTAAAAAACGAACGTCGTGCGGCGGAACAGTACTTACACGTAAACCGTATTTCCAATCACCATTAAAGTAGATTTTCCAGCCGTAATAAATATTCATTGTTCTGCTACTCGTGGAACGAGTCGTCGACGTTAATTCAAATGACTTTACCGTCGATATTATACGAACTGTCTGTCGATTGTCGACGATTTACGTATTACCGTTTTTATATCTGTTTTACTTTCTCTTTCACCGCATCGATCAACTCTCCATCCAGACGTCAATTCGGCTCGCGACGTTCGACAATCGGGGGAAAAATTACACGCAAGTTCATTGAACCGAAACGAACGACTGCGAGAAAAGAATCGAAGATTCGACAAGGTCTGGCGCACCAGTCGATCGTTTTAAGTCCTCGTATTAACCTCCATTAAGTTTCGTCCGTCTCGCGAATTAATTCCGATTGGCGGTTGCGTTTCTCGTCGGTATTAATACGACCACGCGAACGTGTATAGGGAACCACCCGACGATAATTGTCCTACACCGCTTACCAGCCAAATTCCTCGACGACTGTCGTTCCGTCGTCCGTGTAATTCCTCGAGACGGATTCCCCTCGAACCGTTTACGTTTTAATCGTATTCGAACGACGGCAGTTCGACTCGAATTTACCGTCTCTCGTAACGTCGTGAAAGGGTTGTATACGTGTATTACGTACACGTTTGTCGGAGACGCGTCGCCGGAGGCACGAAGCCGAATTGTATCCACGTTACGAGGGCTGTTTGCCGCCCGTGCATGGGAACAAGATTCGTTTGCACGATTGCCTGTACCTAACGGAGCAATAACATCCGCTGCAATGCATCGCGATAAGAATCGATCCGGCCGAATTTCCTCGAAAACTGTTCTCGCCGTTCACTGGATATGCCGTGATTCGTGAAATTTTGCAATAGACATCGAGTTTTTCGTTTGCGACGAATATCCTAGATACTTTTCCCAAGTGGAATCGACCATTCGAATAGTTTCGTTAATTCTTCGTTTAATTCGCGTCGAGACGAGAGACACGTGGATGACGAAAAGGGAAAACAATAGATGTTTTGCGTCGTTTACGATCGTTCAGGCGATCATTCGATAGAGTTATGCATCGAAAACTGCCTCTGGATGCGAACGATTGCGTTTCGGTTGCTCGGGAAGGGACCCAGGAGAACGGAGGGGAAACGTTTCGGAAGCCGATTTAAATACAAATTAAATGACAGCTCCCTCGTGTCTGCGCTATCGGTATCCCCTGGGGTTTTTCGTTGAGATTTCC